AGAGAGAGAGAGAGAGAGATACTCTGGCTGGCACTTTCTCAAACATGCGCCAAAAGACAACAGAACATGAGGATGTGCGTGTTTGTGTGTGCAGTTTCTGTTCAAAAACAAACAAACACACTGTATGGAAAGTTCAGATGTTTAATGTTGCACTTAAAGAGGTATTTGATGAACGAATCATGAAATTAATTAATCTATTTTTAAAAGCAAAAACGTGCAAATAAAAAATAAAAATAATAAGTGTTTGACTGTCTCAAACACTTTCCTGGAAGCAGATAAAAAACATCAGTGCTACTCAAAAAACATTATTCAACCTTTGGACAACATCTTCCTGGTTTTCCAGACTGGTTGTGTGTAGCTGTGATTGATCACAAATATGCTAAAGGTTCTCTAATGGAAGCACACTCTAGTTCTGTCTCAGGGAGAAGTTGATGTTTTAAAGTTGGATAATAAATGTGCAGGTTTAATGCTGAAAGATTAACGTTTGCATTTGCATTTGGATTTCAACATCTGAATAGTAAAAAGGCAAAAAATGACCAAAAGTCAGTGTTTCCCTTTTTGTAAATGTGGGAAATGTCATCACAATTTTTTTAAAAATTCTTTTTCATTAAAAAGAGGTTAGGTTCGTGTCCCCAATAAATAAAGTAAAATGTAATTTTTTGAGTGAGTGTGGCCAAGGTCGGTCAACTTTAACGATAAAATATATGCATCATAATGCTAGCTTTGACAATGTCAAGTGGGCAGGTGCCAACCCGGCAAGAATGACAATAAATAAGCTTTTGCTGTGGCCGAATTCGTGCAACCTACAAAAATTAAATAATTTGCCTTGATGAAAAATGGTGAAACACAAACTGGCAAACAACTGCGCAGACTCACAGCACGCTGTGAGGAAACTGACTCAATTAGGAGACGTCGCTTGACGCAATTTCTCAAAATGTGAAACTTTGTCTTTAATTTCCGTTAATATGGTTTTTAAAACACACAAAATCATGTTTATCAAATTTATTCAAATTCAGTTTTATTTTATTTAATATTTATGTTAAGACAATAGGCATACACTATGTATATATTTACTTTGCCATGTGTATTGAGCACCTTTGTACAAAACTTTCCCTTGTTATGAATTACGTCAATTATTTACATTATTTCTTACAAATTTGAATTTATTGACTTCACTTGACAGCCTGTAGCTGTTTTCCTCTAATAAAGCGGAGTTCAAAGGATTGTTGAGACATCTGCAGCTTCAGTAGATACGTCTGAGATACTTTTTGTATTTTTTTGGTTACTTTGAAATTTTTTTGTATTTTATTTATTGACTTAGATCCTAAGTAAGCATCTTGTGTGAGGTAAAGACGCCTCATATACTATACTGTCACTGAAAACCTTTACTCAGAATCACGTATGTTTGAAAGTTTGAGCAACAGCTAGCGAGTTGCTGCTCTAAAGAAAAATCCTATTAAGGAATAATTCCTCTGTTTTACTTTTGTTGTACAATGCTTTAGTTTATGAAATGGGTTCAAACTCCTGCTAGGAAAACTAGGCGGTTTTTCCTATTTCCTAAAAAGTCAACACAATTTGGAGTTAACGGTTTTTTTTCTTCCTTAAACAGATCCTGTGTATTCCAGCATTTTGACCTCCTCTCTTCCCTTTACATATTTCTTCACTTTCCCACAGAACAAACCTGACAGAGACGGATGCAAATGCTGTTGTTCATCCCCGTTTAATTGTGTGTCGATCCTGCAGCTTTGGCGTTTTGCATATGTAATAAAACTACTTTTCTTTTCACCCTGAGCTCTAAATTTCCAGCTCTTAGTTTCAGTTTCTGCCTCGCCTTTTCTGGCTCCAACAACTTTGTTCCATTTCTCATTCTCTGGCATAATTACAGCTTTATAGCATTCTCCACTGCTCGGGCATGTTGTAGATATTTCTCAACCCCCCCCCCACCCTTCTTTTTTTTGTCTTTTTTGGTTGGGCTCTCATTAATAATTCACAGAGAGAGAATGGGAAATTTTAGTGCAATTTGCAGCTGCTGAATCCCAGTTATTGTTTTGCAGGGTGTTGCACAGAAAGACAAAACCTCGGACGAAGACTTTGTAGCCCTGAATGTAATTTGGCTGTGTCTCTCTGACAGGCCACACATCATTAGGGGGGTGAATGAGATGTGTGGGGGGGTATCGGCTCCGTCCAGCCAGTCAAACACACTGTCCTCATCTGTCGCTCCAAACCCCCGACGCTCTGTGTTTCCTTAATGCTTTTAGATGCTGTTTGTTCATATTTATGCTTCATAACTATCTATGTTTTATTCCGTTTGTTTGCATTCGAGCAAGCAGTCGCTGAATTATTCAGAGCGGGCCGAGCGGCTTCGCAAAGATGACAAAGACGACAGGAAACTTTTGGCCGCTTTTCTTTCAGAATGAAAGACTAGACGCTTCTTCAAAGAGCAACAATGGCGGTGGCGACCAAGTTTTTTTAGGGCATCTAGCGGCCTACGTCGAAAACATACTGCAACGGTTTGATTCCTGCTGGAGGCCTTTGTTTCACGCTTAGCCCCATGTGCTCTGTCTGTCTCTATATCAGCTATCTCAGAGCCAAAAGTGCCCCAAATCCAAAAATGTCAGAATCAAAACTCATAATGATACTCTTAAAAGCAGGAGCAGGCAGATTCAAATTAAAACACTACGTGGACCTCAACCCTCCATTAATCCAGAGTCTGAACCAATCCCTGAATACCGGAAATATTCAATATAATAAGTCGAAACGGGTGAGGTTAGAAAACTGAACAGGTCTGTAACATAGATTGGCCAATAATGAATTAGGTAATTTTTTCATGCAAAAGTCATGTCAAACATTTGATAGTTCCAGGCTCAAATTTGACATTAACATTTTAATAAACCGTCTCACTTTGGAGTGATAGTTAGAAAAAGCAAGATATGTTATGATATTACTTTGGGCTGCAGGAAACGGTGATGGACTGTTTTCACTCTTTTACGAACAATTTGAATTATTAATTGATGAATTGAGGAAAAAAATAATCTGCAAATGAATCGATAATAAAAATAGTCATTAATTGCAGCCTTAGAGAGCTTTGTATCATGCTATAGTTCCTGAACTGAACAGATTTTTTCATTAAATGTCCAAAAACACATTTAAACTTGAATTTTTTTAAACAATTAGCAAGAAAATTGTGTAAAGTTTTACTTTTAAAATGGCTTCAACAGTAAGTCGCAGAAAAGTACCACAACACTGCAGAAATTACCAATCGCTTTACAAACAGAGCAAACAGAGCGTGCACTCAAACTTTCTTCGTTTTTATTAATTTATTAAAATCATGAGCAAAGCTGCCAATGCAATAGCCTTGATACATAAGGAATGAGAAAAGACTGTTCCTTTGTTTGGCTTAAATTACCCAGCTTTAACCGGATAGCTTACATTTTAACCAAACTCAACAAGAATCACACATTTCTGTGATGAGCCGATTTTAAAAATGAGCAGTTTCTCATGAGACTTCAGCATGTTTTACTCTATCAGAATATTCTCTGAGGACCGAGAAAAATCAATATGTGGAAAAACAAATACTAATCTAAATACCTAAAACATAAATTCTAACCAGTCAAGATGTTTTTAGATATAAAGCACACTGCAGTTAATAACTTAAATTAATTCTTTTATAACCCACCTTGACTGGAGTCTTGTTTGCGTGCTGTTCTTTATGTCAATGTGCCAGAATATCTTCTTTTAACACCTGTGAAGAGAACAAAACTTAACATCAGACACTTACACATACTCACATTCTAGCTGTTAAATAATACGTATTCACAATTTTCTGTTTCAATTGTGCAGTTTATGATTCTAACTTTTTTGCATCCGTTTTCTTCCTTGATGCATATAAAAACACTCAGATCCCAGTGCAGAATTCTTTAATAATTCTTAAATATATATATTTAAAACAAATCCTCCCGTATACCAGACATATTTTGTCTTTCACACAAAACTTAAACTCATTGAATTTCTTTGTTTGAAAGGAACTGTTTTAATAGACTTGTTGAGCAGGCCATCCTGTGCTCAAAAAAAAATAAAAGTAAAAACAAACTAAAAGGATAAAAAAAAATAAAGGGATAAGAAATCAAAAACCTCTCTTTTTCCTTTTTTCTCTCACATTTTGCCCAGACTGACCTATTTTGAGCAGAGTATCTCATAACCGGAGAGTTTAGGACTGTTTAATGCTAGGTGACACAGCAGTGTCCTGCAGTCTTTTCTTTCTTAATCCCTGGCATCTTCGGTAAAAGATCTCTCAGAAGAAACAGCGCTTGTTTCTGGCATCCAGCCGCCGGAGGGAAGAGGAGATTGTCAGGGCGCATTTCTTCTCTGCTCGCCAGCCATTCCTCAGGAGGGATGTGTGTGTGTTTGTGTGTGT